TAGATTCTTCAGGAACCAGCCACACAATGTTAGAGAGTACCAGGATGAGAAATGGATTTTAGCAAAACTATAAGTTCTTCATATTTCCTCAGAAGAATCAAATCTATACTGGTGTGTGTGTGTGTGTGTGTGTGTGTGTGTGTGTGTGTGTGTTTAATTGTTGTTAGATTCTTCAGGAACCAGCCACACAATGTTAGAGAGTACCAGGATGAGAAATGGATTTTAGCAAAACTATAAGTTCTTCATATTTCCTCAGAAGCTAGGAGGTGCTCTCCTGTCCTCCTACTCAGGATTCTCAGATATTTGCACATCCATGTCATTGTAAAAAGGTGAGCCACCTGGTGGACATTTTACAGATGAGAAGCTGAGGCAGCGTGCAGGCCTTCCAGGCTGGCTCCGAGTCCTGTCTATAAGTAGTGAAGCAGCACCCTAACCTAGACTGCGCAAGACTAAAATGTGAGACCAGTCAGAGGGGAGTGTGCAACTTGAATGACATGGATCTTTCTGTTTTTCCTTCTAGTGGTTCCTGACTAAACAGAAGCATGGTTTTGGGAAACAAGCCAAGGCCAGAGCCTGATGGTGGCCAAATCTGCCACTAACAAATCTCTGAAACAAATGTCCTCTTTGTACCTTCTAGTGGTTCATCTTCTCAGCAAAGGGTGAGTTCTTGGCTTTCTTATAATAATAACATCAATGATCTTGAATTTCCAAGAACAAAATAGAGAAGTGGGCAAAGGTGAAAGAATTAGACAGGAGATTCAAACAGTAACAAGAAAAAATAAATACCAACTATCCCTAGAGGAGAGGAGTTCTGGTGACATTAACCTAAAAGTAGGCAGTTCAAACCTACCCATTGGTTTTGTGTATGAAAAGGCTTGGCAATGTGCTTCCATGCTTACAGTTGGGAAACCCCTGTGGAGCAGTTCTTTCCTGGAACACATGGGGTCACTGTGAGCTGCAGTTGACTCAGCACCTCACAGCATCTGCTAGCAGAGACACAATTCCAAGGTAGGTGTGTAAATCAGAAATGCCTCCCACTTCCTTCTGAGAGCCGCACAAAGTGATCAATTAGAAATGGAGAAGAACTGTAAGTGGTCTAGACATTTAGAACAAGGGGCTTCTCTACCTGGACTCCATCATGAAGTCACCGAAAGACCAGGGCAGCTGGACCAATGAGGGTAATGACCGAGGGATCCAGCCCTTGTCTTCTATTACGCACAAGACATTTGAGACTCCTATAGGATAAGGCTGATGAGAGGCAGAGCCGGGACCAGGGTGCTCCTCATCTTGTACAGTGGGGAGAAGATGCTCACGCTCCTCTCTGCTCACGTTTTTGACCATAGAACTCCACTTGTATGAGCCACTGAATCCAGAGTTTCAGAAGCATCCTTCCTAAACCCTAAATCTCTTCTCCCAGCCTAGCCACTGAAAGGAGAGCCACGTGTACCCTCATGCATTTGAGCTCTAATCATGTCATTTTGTTTCTTGCAGATGGCTCACTCAAAGTTGAGATACATTTTCCTTCCCATTCTGGGGGCCCTTTGTGTGTATATTATCATGCACATCCTGATTCTTTCTAAAGGGCACTTTGTTTTCAAGGAAGATCATAGGGACTTCCTCCAGCTCCCGGAAATAGACTGCAGGCAGAACCCTCCCTTCCTTGTCCTGCTGGTGACTTCCTCACACGGAGAGGTGCCTGCTCGCATGGCCATCAGACAGACATGGGGGGGAGCAAGCGTCGTGGAAGGAAGACAGATAAAGACCTTCTTCCTCCTGGGAGCCACAGCCACACAGCGCGACATGACAGCAGTGTCTCAGGAAGGCCAGCGACATGGAGACATTATCCAGAAGGACTTTGTGGACGTCTATGCCAATTTGACCCTGAAGACCATGATGGGCATGGAGTGGGTCCACCACTTCTGCCCTCAGGCTGCCTTTGTGATGAAGACAGACTCGGACATGTTTGTGAACGTCTACTACCTGACCCAACTACTTCTAAAGAAAAACCGAACAACTAGGTTTTTCACTGGTGCCATCAAAACCAATGGCTTTCCAATTAGGGATAAGTCCAGCAAGTGGTTTGTCAGTGAAGATGAGTACCCCTGGGACAGGTACCCGCCTTTTTGCTCTGGCACGGGCTATGTGTTCTCAAGTGATGTAGCGAGCCTGGTCTATAATGTTTCTGAGAGCATCCCTTTCATTAGATTAGAAGACGTGTTTGTGGGGCTCTGCCTGGCCAAGCTGAACATCAAGCCAGAAAAACTCCACTCAGAGCAGACGTTTTTCTCATTCGGGTTACGGTTTTCAACTTGTCGCTTTAAGAATATTGTGACCTGCCACTTTATAAAGCCTCCAACATTGTTGCTTTATTGGTATGCTCTAGAGAATTCCCGGGGAGAAGAGTGCCCAGATGTCTGAGGCGGTCCTAAGGGTAAATTTGGAAAACACATTAGTCGATCCTCAAGGATTGTTGCTGTGAAAAGCTATTGGATGGTATTGCTGAGAGTCGCCAGTGGGAGAGGGAGAGGGAGAAGTCAACAGCCTACTGGATACCAGACCCAACCTAGAATCGAAGAAGAAACCAGGCCACTGATTCCCACTTGGTGATACAAGCAATGATTTATAGCATCTCTTGGGGGACCTCCATACCATCTCCTACCAACAACCACTATCTATGAGAGTTAATGGTCATCTCCCAATTTTACCGTTGGGAAAACTGGCTCCAAAAGGCACAGTGACTTGTCCAAAGCCTCCTAATCAATAGCAAGTGGAGGAGTAGGGAAAATCAAAGGTGGCTCAGGATACAGTTGGCCACCCTGACCCTGCACACTTCCCTTGAGAGAGAATGGTGATCACAAAGACTCAGAGAGAAGGTTCCCTCATCTCCAATCTCTTTCTAACCGCCTTGCCCTTCCTAACTCACCTTCTGGCATGGTTAGATTTTATGTCAACTTGTTGCAATGTGTGAAGATAGGGGTGGTGTCCAACCTGTCCATCAGGTCACAGCCTGATGATGACTCCTTGAGGGGGTGGCCTTTTAATAAGACAGATACTAAAAAGAACGGGCCGTCCTCTCTTGCCCCTGTATGCCTACCTGCTTGCCTGGATTCTGTGTCTGGCTCTTGGACAGTGGCTCACGTGGCCTGCCCGCCTTGGAAGCTCCAACACCCTGCCATGGTTTCAAACTGCTAACCTTGGATCTATGCAACTCTGCACCGACTGGCCTATGGACTCCCAGGTTCCCACTTTACCTTCTTGCTTCAACAGCTGGCAGCTACATGCATCCGAAGGGGCCCCCAGTGAGTATGAGACCCATGGCTGGGCCACATCTTGGATAGAAATTCCATTCTTCTTAATATAAAGTTCTCTCCCTGGACCTGATGGCATAGTAGTTTCGTGCTTGGTTGCTAATTGTTGCTAAAAGTCAGCAGTCTGAAAACACCAGAGCTGCTCCTGAGGAGACGATGGGCCTTCTCCTCCAGGAAAGAGTGAAACCCACAGGGACAGTTCTATGCTATCCTCCAAGAATCAGAGTAAGTTTGGTTATCGATCTGTGTATATAGCCTTTGGTTTTGTTTCTCTAGAAAACGCAGCCTAACACAATTGAGTACTGACCATTCTAGAGAAACAAATTGAAAGGATGGAAAGAGGAGGCCTGTCTGATGTCCACCTCAGGGCAATTGGGTGGAGTTGGATTTACCTTCTTGCTGTGTGTAGCCAGAGAAGGTCAGACAATGCTTACATGTGGTCTGTTTGGTTGGTCTCTGGCGCAGGATCTCTGGCTCTGGCTCCAGTCTCATGGTAGCATGGGGCTCTGTGAGAGAAAGAATGGGCATGGGGAGTGAACTTTTTAGTTCCTGCATGGTTTAAAGTGCAGTGTAGGAGGGCGGGGGTGGGTGGGGGGGAGCACATTTGCAGTCCCCCATGATAAAAGCCAATAAGCTTAAACAAGATGGCTAATGGAAGGCAGGGCTTGCTGGTGTCACCCTGCCAGCAGCCCAGGGCCATGTGCATATAAATAGAATCACCCAAGAGAACTTCGAACTTGAGTGTTTTCAACAGAATTGTGTTTAGGATCTGGCTTACAAGAATTACATTAATTTCTCCTACCTACTGTTATAAACATTATGTTTGATTAGAAATGTATGTTGGAAATTATGATTAGAGAGAGCTAGTAAGTTCACTGTCTTCAGCCTTTATAATTAGATTTGCTAAAAGGGGAGGAAGGAATTGCCCTGTAGAAATGGTGCTTTTTAAAAAATCATTTTATTAGGGGCTTATACAACTCATCACAATCCATACATTCATCAATTGTGTAAAGCACAGCTGCACATTCATTGCCCGCATCATTCTCAAAACATCGGCTCTCCACCCAAGCCCCTGGCATCAGCTCCTCATTTTCCCCTCCCTCCCCACTTCCCCTTCCCTCATGAACCCTAGATAATTTATAAATTAATGTTTTGTCATATCATGCACTGTCCGACGTCTCCCTTCACCCATTTTTCTGTTGTACATCCTCCAGGGAGGAGGTTATATGTAGACCCTTGTAATCTGTTCCCCGTTTCCAACCCACCCTCCCGCTACCCTCCTGGTGTCACTAATCTCACCACTGGTCCTGAAGGGATCATTATCCTTAGATTCCTGTGTTTCTAATTCCTATCTGTACCAGTGTACATCCTCTGGTCTAACCAGATTTGTGAGGTAGAATTGGGATCATGATAGTGGGGGGAGGGGGCAAGGAAGCATTTAGGAACTAGAGGAAAGTTGTATGTTTCATCGTTGCTACACTGCACCCTGACTGGCTCGTCTCCTACCAGCGACCCTTCCATAAAGGGATGTCCAGTTGCCTACAGATGGGCTTTGAGTCTCCACCCTGCACTCCCCCTCATTCACAATGATATGATTTTTTGTTCTGATGATGCCTGATACCTGATCCCTTCAACACCTTGTGATCACACAGGCTGGTGTGCTTCTTCCATGTGGGCTTTGTTGCTTCTGAGCTAGATGGTCACTTGTTTACCTTCAAGCCTTTAAGACCCAGATGCTATCTCTTTTGATAGCCAGGCACCATCAGCTTTCTTCACCACATTTGCTTATGCACCCATTTGTCTTCAGCGATCATATCAGGGAGGTGAGCACACAATGATATGATTTTTTGTTCTTTGATACCTGATAACTGATCCCTTTGGCCCCTCATGATCATGCAGGCTGATGTGCTTGTTCCATGTGGGCTTTGTTGCTTCTGAGATGGCTTTTTTCAAAAAGCTTTGTACAATAAGGGACTTAGATGGAAAGCTGAGCCCACCCATATTCTTGATGATCGGTGTATTTCCATTATAAAAGTCATGTACCCCTACTTAGAACTGCTGAGATACTGATGAGGAAAAAAAATGACGAGTTTGCCTTTTTTTTATTGGAATGAATGCAAGAAGTTGCCCATGGACACCTGTGAGTAACTGTCAGTGGGATTCCTTGAAGTGGCATCCTGCTGTGTATAAAATGAGCCCTCTGAGAAGCCGCAGGAGGGATCTCATTACCAGCAAGAGCCAGGAGTTAAGCACTTGCCCCGGACTCCAGATCCCTACACAGTGATCCTCCAGGATCCAGATGACAGCTACAGGATCAGAGGGGCAGCAGCAGAACCAGGAGCCCGAGCATGGGACGGAGCGATGATGGACTCTTTCCCAACCCAGGAAGCAAGTCAAGATGAGTGCTTTGGGGCAGGAGGCTGGCTTGTGGAGTAGGACGCCTTTGGACACTTAATGGAGACACTGGACTTGCTGACCCATGGAAGTGGAGCTGGGTGCCTTTGGACTAAGGCTTACTGAAGTGGGTTACCTCTGGGCACTTAATTCAGGGAGCTGAATTTGCTGATCTGAAGAGCTTAACCTGAATGCCTTTGGGTTGAGGATTATAGCAGAGTGTGTCTCTTTGGGACATTTATTAGCAAGCCTTGACAGAACTTTGTAATATGTCCTGATAAGCATTTCTCACTGGCATTACAATTTGTTAACTTCCTTAATAAACCCTTTAATCATGAATTTCATTTGTGTGTTTACTGTAGTCATTGCTATAGATATTAGAAACTAGAAGTAAATTATAGAACATTAAGTCAGTCAGCATAATAGACTCACTAGAGCACCACCTGGATTCACTTCGAGTGGAAGTGGGGGAAATGCAGAAATGAAACAGGTTTAGTCCAGCTAGACCAGAGGATGTACACTGGTACAGATAGGAACTGGAAACACAGGGAATCCAGGACAGATGATCCCTTCAGGGTCAGTGGAAAGAGTGGTGATACCTGGAGGGTGGAGGGAAGATGGGGTAGAAAGGGGGAACCGATTACAAGAATCTACATATAATTTCCTCCCTGGGGGACAGACAGCAGAAAAGTGGGTGAAGGAAGACATCGGACAGTGTAAGATATGACAAAAATAATAATAATTTATAAATTATCAATTATTATTTATAATAATTATAAATTATTATGAGGGCAGGGAGGGGCGGGGAAGGAGGGGAAAAATAAGGAGCTGATACCAAGGACTCAAGTAGAAAGCAAATGTTTTGAGAATGATGATGGCAAAAAATGTCAAATGTGCTTGACACGATGGATGTATGGATTGTGATGAGTTGTACAAGCCCCCAATAAAATGATTTAAAAAAGAAAGAAAGAAACAGCTTTAGTCTGGCCACTGATACCTATCAATCTAGTCTACAGAGACTAGAAAAGAGAGACAAAGAGTGAGTAGCTAGTCTGGAGTTTAAAGAGTTGTGCAAAACCTGAGCTTATGGGATATCCTAGTCCAAGGAAGGTTGGTTTGAGGAGAATATTTGAAGGCACAAGATGGCCCCTGAAGTGGAGCGAAGTGTGTGCAAACTCCTGAACTCGTTGCTGGCACCCATTACCCTAACTTGGAATGGCTAGGACTGAGTTGACAAGAACCAAACCAGATGAACTGAAATATGCTTCATCCTGCGAGCTGGTGACATTGCTTGCAGACTTGCTGGTTGGCCTGCTCTAGATTTGACTTTGGTCTTCAATGCAGATATTCAGAGATACAACTGCAACGAAAATCCATTACATCAAAGAATATGCTTGTCTCCTCTGAGCACTGGTTGAGAGGAATGGGCAATTTAGAAAATGGATATTCAAAATCAGGGGAGATAAAGGCATGAAGTAGCTGGCTTATAAACTTTCCTCAGCCTATTTGGCCTCAAATAAGTGATACAAAGGGGGGACCACATCAAACCATTTCCCTGTTCCTAAATGCAAGCATCTAGTAATTAATATAAGCCATTCCCCTAAGGACCTGTTTAACCTGGAAAACTCTGTGTCCATTAGAGTAAATCCCCTTAATTGGTCTAGATCCTAATTGATCTGGGAAAGAGAGCGTGGGGAGAAGATGTCGATAGGATTG